ACATTGATTACCATCTCCCAAAATACAGTGGGAGACTGTAATAATAATAGATAATAAATAAACTACTATTGATGTTTTGTCTTGCACAGGCTTTAGATAGATTAAAATATATAATTTGCATAATGCAGCTTGTTTTTCTGTACTTTTCTGTACTGAGGAGCTGTAGTATGTTCATATTGTTGCAGTGTGCTTCCCAAGGAGACATAGAAATAACTTTTTCCTCACTTGTAGGGCACATAAGTTAACAAGAATTGTATTTGAAAGGATTGGACAGTGGAAGAAAAGATTACATATATTCTTTATGGAGAGGTGCCCCACAGCCAGATGGTTTTTTCTTCATGTACCTGTGAAATATGTGCAAGGTGCGACAATGTTGTAGGCATTGTACAACGTGATTGGATAGCAATTTTAATTTGTAAATAGTTATTTTTTAAGCCACATAAGTGGCTTGCCAATGTTTACTTTCAATCTATGTAGATGGCATGATGGCATACTTGTCAATATCTTATGAGATGTAAGCTTTTTGTTAATTTTAGCATTATTATTCTGCATTTTGCATGCAAATAAATACTAAAAAAGTGGCGCTATTTTCTGCATTTTTAATTTCACCCCTGTCTAATTCTCCAAACAGCAAGTAATACTTAATCAGGATTTCTACTGGGCTTTGAGTGTTTCTCTTCTTTATGCAAAACTAACATGCATTAACATCTCAAAGTTAACATAAAAGTATGAACTGCGTCTTCTCGTGACAGTTCAAATATTAGAGTATGCTTCATTATTACTAAAAGAACTGTTCTAACCATTAAAGTTGATCAGTATAATAAATAATGCAGTGTCATCTAAATTAGATTGTAATAGTTTAAATCCTGGCCAAATACAACTGGTCCTTTCCATGAAGAGTTTGCATGATGTTCCCCCCATCTTCAAGTTGGTTTCCTCTGGGTGCTCTGATTGGCTCCCACCTAACCCTCAAAAATATGATGTAGATAACATATAGATGTTCAGTTGGGCACACTTATTGGCAACATGACAAATATTGTAACTATTTCTAGTACTGAGGCTGTGTGTTAAGATTTTTTATTCTGTGATAGACTTGTGAGATAATAAAATACACAAAAAAGAAAACAAATGATGTGTCCGGAACAGACTGAGTATTTAATCAAAGTTGTAATTGTACATTTTTTGGCATATTTTCCAGGAGGGTGATCCTACCATTAAGAGATCTGCTGCCATTGTGTCCATCATTGCTGACAGTGAGGATGTAAACATGGTGCCATACCATCCCCGTGAAGTCAAGGTCTTCCTCCAGGATCAGGTTGTCTTGCAGGGGACTGAGTGCTGGCCTGATGCACTCCTGTACTTGTATGGCTTGCTGTATGTCCTCCAGGCTGAGTACCCAAAAGGCATGACGTATACGTTCGAGTTCATTCAGAAAGTCCTTCTGAATGTGGGTGGAGACAAACTGAAACCCAAGACGCTGTCCTTAAAAAATAAGCTACAGTAGTGTACAAACAAGTACAGACAATGTTGAAATTGTTTTGTTGTTATGGAGATGTTGAGCTGTTCTAGCCCTGATTGATACTGTATCTAAAATGGCATGGCACCCTGTCAGCTTTCATGATCAGTTAAAGGAATAGTTATTTGGGGAAATACACTTATTTGCTTTCAAGTACAGAGCTGGAGCCAGGAGGGGATTAGTTCAGTTTAGCATAAAGAATGGAAGCAGGAGGAAACCACAGGTCTGGTTCTGTCCAAAATTCCAAAATACAGGCTCCCTGATTAACACGTTCTATCATATTTTCTTATTCTGTACACAAATCAAAAACTACAAGCTACCCAAAGCAAAATCAGTTGCATAGTTAGCAAAGAATGTGTCAATTTAGGTCAGGATTGATCACCATGGTAAATAGAAGACAAGTACTTGCAGACATGTTAAAATTGTTGCAGTTGTTTCATGAAGATGTTGAGCTGTTGACCCTGATTGTGGTCCTTGCAAAATAAAAAAAGATAAACTTTAAACCATTATGTTCAGAGTTTTTCTTACATAACCTTGTATTTTGTATGAGCAGTGAGAATGTTGAGACACCATGGGAGTTTGTATGAACAGTAAAATGTTCTGAGACACGGCATAATTGATTATTCCTAGTAGAGAAATGTGTTAATACTACCCAACATTTTTACGTTAGATATATTTATTTTTGAGTGTAAGGAGTTTCCAAAATTTATTTTGAGTTGTTTTTAGATAAGTGAATTTCAACTAGTGTTAACATAAATTCTTTTTAAACTTAATTTTTATAGTAAATTTAGTATGACAAATGTAGATATTTTGACACATTTTTTGTATGTATGGAACACTGGTTTAATAACATTTTAAAACCTAAATATTTTATGCTTAATGCACACAATGACAGACATTTTGTAAAAGAAAATTAATAGGTTTAAACAGCAGAGAATATATAGTTCAAATGAACAATTACAAATGTGTCACTGTATTTTAAAAGATTTTTGTAAATTGCACAAAAAAAATACTGGTTGGAAAATGAATAACTTCATGTTAAGTTGACTATAAGACTGTAATACGTATTAGTTAACTGTACACAAAATAATTTAGTTTAGTCACATCATTGTGTTTGTGTTGAAAAACCACTGATATTTACATTTAACAACTCAATAACTTTGTGTTATGTATACTAGATATTTCAACTTAATATGACATAAACTTCTAAGTTCTTAAAACAAATTATTTCATCAATTGATTGAAAATGTTATGTTAAACTGACAGAAATCTCTGATCAGACAGGGTCATGTGACACATTTATTTTGAGTTAGGTGTACTCATAACTTTCATGTTACTGTACTGAAAAGTTTAGTGTGCAAGCTGTTTCCAATAAATATTTGAGTAGAGTGAGCTAATTGGGATTTAGTTGAATAATGAAAATTTTGTTAATTTGACTTTAAAATTACAATATATAACTGTTGTTTATACATAAAATGAGTAAGTTATGACACACTATTTTGTTTATGCTCAATAAACATTAAAAAAATTATGTCATATAACATATATTTCCTGTTAATATGACATAAAAATAAATGCTCACAAAACACAAATTATTTTGTTGTGTGATTAAAAAAGTTCTGTTGAACTGACATAAATGTCCAGTCAGACAAGGGTCATGTGACACAGTTACTTTGTGTCTGGTGTACTCAAAACTTTCATGTTACTGCACTGTACTAAACTAAAAGTTTTGAGTGCAAGCTGTTTCCAATAAATTTTTAAGTTGAGTGAGCGAATTGGGATTTACAGTGTAGTCTGAATCTGACCTGACAGCACCTATCCATGTCCAGCCAAAGTGTTTTACCAACTTGGCCAGAGCGTCAGCCTGAAACTGGTCACTAGGGATTGTCCTGAAGAAAGTTGGGTACTGCTNAGAGTCCCAGTACACCACCTTTAATCAATATTGCTTACATGTGGATACATGGGCACACACGTGCATGTATTAATTTGGAGAGATAAGTATACTGAGCTGCCCCTAAGATATCAAAACAGCTTTAGTTTTGTACTGTTAAATGTACATGTTAAGAAAAAGATAGTATACAAATGTTGCACCGTGCTGTTGTGGTGAAGATGGAGCTGAGCGAATCTCTGTTTAGCAGTCCATATATGTTTGGATGCTTACATATTGTCATGAGCTTTAGGAAGTGATAAAAAGAATGGGACTGTGGATACAAGTGGTTGAAATGAGTTTCCCTCTGTAGGGTGGCTGGGCTCAGCCTTAGAGATAGCGCGATGAGCTCAAACATCCAGATGGAGCTCGAAGTAGACCCGCTCCTCCTTTGCATCAAAAGTAGCCAGGTGAGGTGGTTAGGGTATCTGATTAGGATGCCTCCTGGGCGCATCCAACTGGTGCAAGGCCCCTGGGGCAGACCCAGAACATGTTAGAAGGATTATATATCTCATCTGGCCTGGGAATTCCTCAGGATTCCCCAGGACAAGCTGGAAAGCATTGCTGGGGAGAGGGATGTCTAGAGTATTTGCTGCCCCCGCGACCTGGCCCTGGATAAGCGGATGAAGATGGATGGAGAAACATATGTGTAAGCATTAAGTTTTATATTCATTCCTTGATGTTTGTACTCTTGTATTCACTTCTCTTCTGTTTTTCAACATGGAATTTGTAACAAAGCCAACTCCAAGTAATATTTTTTATTGTTTCCAAATTAATGTACAGTTGGTCTGGTTTATAAAGGGCCACTAAAGATAGAGCTGCAATGCTAACTTGGTAATTAGCCTCTGGTACACATTTTTTTCTTCACCATCAGTGACTCTACAAAGGGAGCCCCCCTTTGTAGAGTCACTGATGGTGAAGAAAAAAAACAGTGAAGAAGAGAGGTCTGAGATCTCTCACAGGCTGCATCAGTGTTTTATTATTTTGCCTTAAGTAACCCTTCTATCATAATAATATACTGGATTACATCTTTTTTCTTCCCTGAAAATCTTTGAATTTTCCTCAGTTAAAAGGATAGTGCACCCAAAACTGAAAATTCAGCCATTACCTACTCACCCATATGCTGAGGGAGGCTCAGGTGAAGTTTTTAAAGTCCTCACATCCCTTGCAGAGATCCAAGGGGAGAGTGGGTAGCAGCACAACTCCACCTTAAAACGTCCAAAAAACACATAATTGAAACCACAAATCTCCATACTGCTCGTCCGTAGTGATCCAAGTGTCCTGAAGCCCCGACATAAAAAGTTGTTTGAAAAAAAAGGCCTTTAAACTCTGTTTTTGGCCTCATTGTAGCCTGTAGCTCTAACCGCTTCTGTGTACACCAAATTTTTATGTCGGGGCTTCAGGACACTTGGATCATTATGGACGAGCAGTATGGAGATATTCTGTGGTTTCAATTTTGTGTTTTTTGGATGTTTTAATCTGGGGCACCCAGCCTCCATTAGGTGGAGTTGAGCTGCTACCCACTCTCCCTTTGGATGTCCGCAAAGGATGTGAGGACTCTAAAACTTCACCTGAGCCTCCCTTGGCATATGGGTGAGTAGATAATGGCTAAATTTTCATTTTTGGGTGCACCACCCCTTTAAGGTCATGGCCTTAGTTGTAACACGTGGACATAGCCATAGACATACTAACTCGATATGTATATAATGATGATGTGTGTGTAAGAAGTTACACAGACACAAAATACAAATGTGTCTTTGTTGTTATGACTGGTTTTATTCAGACTGGTTCTGATTAGCCTGTCCAGGTAAAATGAGCGTTCCCACAGTTATAACTGTTGTATGAGATAAATGGTTAACGTACAAAGGAGGGTGTTTTGAAGCTGCTATTTCTTTCGTACATGTATGTTTTACAACACTTACCTTGTATACCATCAATCAATTTTAGCCATGCTATTTATATGGTTCTATAGGTGGCAATGTTAATTTGTTGGTCCACCATTTTGGTTCAGAATGAATTATCTCTTCAACTATTAGATTGTCATGAAATGTGATTCAGACATACATGTCTCCATAGCATGAATCCTACTTACTTTGATGATCCCCTGACTTTTCCAATGGCACCACCCTAAGGACAACATTTTCAGTTTTTAGTCATGCATCTTTAAAACTGTCAGATGAATTTCCTTGAGGTTTGTTTGTTGCCTTTAGAATGAATTGCTATAACTTTGGTGATGCTCTTTTCATTTAGATCCATCAATCTTGTAATGTGTCCAATACTTTGGTTTATGACCAAATACCTGCAGAACAAATGACGATCCCATCAGCCTCAGCTGTCCTTAATTTTTTAATGCAATAAAATGGTAATGGAAAATGGTAAACAATATTACCTGCTAAACTTTAGTATTTTAGCAATGACATTTTGAGCATGTTGGCATGCAGGTGTGAGCTCATATTCTGTAGCACTGCTCTGCCTAACAATACCACAATGTAGAGATAAGCTATAATGACACTGTGTCATAGCTGGATGCAAGCATCAGACTATCGCGCTGCATTACATTAAATCAGACACTCTCTGTCCAGCCTGGATCCGTTAAATATGGAACTCTGTCACGTCATGTAAACAATCACTTACCCAGCAGCTGTGGTCTCAGAGTTAACACTGAAAAGATGGGTGAGTATGTACTTCCTTGTTATTCCACATGCTGCCCGCCTGCTCACCCACACCCGCTCCCGAGACCACATCACCCCCATCCTCCAAAACCTACACTGGCTCCCCATCACACATCGCATACAGTTCAAAATCCTCCTCCTCACACACAAAGCACTCAGCAACCAGGCCCCCTCCTACCTCACACACCTAGTCCACCAACCCACCCCCTCCCGCGACCTCCGCTTATCCGAAGGAAATCTTCTCTCACTACCTGCACGGACCAAGCACCGAACCTGGGGGGACAGGGCCTTCTCCATTGCTGCCCCATCCCTCTGGAACTCACTCCCCAAACCCATCCGTATCTGCACACACCTCCCAACATTCAAGACCATGCTCAAAACTCACCTTTTAAATTAGCTATTAATGTATAAGTTTGTGTGTTTTATACTGTTTTATTGCTGTTTTTTATTCTGACTTAACTCTATTTTATGATTTTTTAAAAACTGTAAAGTGTCTTTGAGCATTTGTTAAAAGTGCTTACAAATAAAATGTATCATTATTATTATTGTTATTCATATTTACAACAATGCTATCACTTTGTGACGGATTTGACCTCTGAGGCTGGGCTGGTTCCGGTCAGAGAACACTAGGAGTCACCAGTTCAGTTTACTGGGTTTTACTGACACCATATCCGTTGTACAGTACAGAGTAGCCTACAGAGTATCTGAAAATATAACAGAAAAATACAAAACTTAAATATCTGTGTGCTCTTGTACACAGTGGTAAATAAACACGTTACTGTAAATAAATGTGCACACATATGTATGAATATAAACACTTTCCTGTATACATATATGAACATTAGCCCGTTGCCGTACTATTACCATTAACTACTGCATCTCCTCATCACCCTGAACATATTAA